CCTCCTTGCACAAGTCGTTGTGGCAGCGCTTCCGCATGGCTCACACAGGAATGAATGAATGGCTGGGCGCTGCCTCTTGATTTATACTTCAGAAACTCGTTGGTCTGCCCTTTGCCATTGGCCCTTGATGCTCACAGTCCCCCTGTGGTACTTGCTGGACCGGACTGGGACTGACTGGACCTTTTGCTGACTGACTGTGGACTCACCGCTATCCTACCGACGTTGTACTGCTGTTGCATTGCGGTTTAGTCCACCACTTGCCCCACCACTTGACCACTTGCCTACCTTCTAAAAGGTATACAGCTAAGCTTCCAGAACTCACTAAGACTCCTACGCTATAGACCTACAGATCGAACCCCTGCTGCCTATGGACCTACGACAGACCTACCAACCGCCTACGAATACACAGGTCACAGGTTCAATTCCCGGGGTCTACACAGATACTGTACATGGGTAGGGTGAGGTCTAGGGATCGAACCTTGGGTACTGCATCCGCTACTGCTAAAAGGTGAAAACCGTTTCAGAGCAGCATATAGCCATGATTTCTCTTTGCTCTGAACATCTACTTTACGTGTCCCAGACACAATCCAGTCATCAGACTTGTCAAAGGCTTTCTTCGTAAAATTGTTCCAATGCCTTATAAACCAGTCCCATATTCTGCGTGACGGTGATGCGGGGCAAGTTAGCCACAACTGACGGTCGTTCTCCCAGATCCACTTCCATCGGACACACTTCTCTCTGATACTCATGCCTCTTTGGGCCAGGTTAACTGCAGTCTGATGCAGATGCTTAGAAGGTTTGTAGCCACAGCAGGCTGGCCAATCTCTGTGACAGTATTTTTTGAAGTTCGTGTCAGATAGAGGATCATAGCTCCGTCGTCGTAATAGTCAACAACTCAACAAGTCATGCTTCTGTCTACATTCAATAACGGACAAATTTCGTTAATTTTTTTGTCCGGCGTTGTCTCAGACTCTCAGCACACTTGTTCCCACTTTCGAGCTGTATAATTCATGTAAAAGAACTGTCCGGTGACCGGCAGACCATTCTATCGATCGATCGATCGACTGAAAGTCAACTGCTGACGACTTTAAGTTTAGGGTTCCAGTTCCCGTGGGAAGGATCACGGGATAATGGGTAGAAAGAGCCCACGCCAAAACTTTTCCGGTTTGGGGCGCCCGAAACTCGACCTTTTGGTAGTACCGGCCCAAAATACTTTCTTGCCCTGGGTGAAAGGCGCCTTGGCGCCGTGGCCACATTTTGTAATTAAATTTACATTTTTTATAAGTCCGCACTGTCCAAGGATCGAACACTTGACTTCCCTATCCGGAGGCAAACACTCAACCAAACGGTAAAGTGGACCGGGGTGAAAGTTAAGCCTCAACACGGGTACCCGTTTTTCCCCGTGATCCGGTGTACAGGGTCACACACATGCACAATGGAAGTAGACATAGCCACCACACAATGAAGACAAATTTGCACACCAGCCGAAGCTAATGGCACCACCCCATCATGCCCAAGCCACTGCAAGGTCGATCGAGTAGTTTTAATGCATTTGTAAATACATCTTTTATAAGTCCGCACTGTCCAAGGATCGAACACGTGACCTCCCTATCAGGAGGCAAACACTCAACCAATGGACCACATCTACGTGTTCGAGAATCTGGCGCAATTCAAGAATTTGGCACTGTTTTTTCGTCAGACTCATGAACCGGTAGGGCCCTTCTTTTTCAAAATCGCGTACGTGGGCCTCATTCGATACTTCAGCGGTAAGTACCACAGTCTCGTATCACCGAAATCCAACTCTGATCTCTGTCCAGCTGGATAGTCTCCAATCTGAAGAAGAACAAGAAGAAGAAGAAGAAGAAGAAGAAGGAGAAGAAGAAGGAGGAAGAGGAGAGAGAGAGAGAGGGGACTGGCGAGGGAGAGGAGGAGAGACCCTCCAAGCTCC